AGATTCTGAGCTATGTACTTCATATGTAGTAACTAAGGTATATTGAGAACAATTTGATATGGCCATTTAACAAATAAGAAAATGGCCATAGGGATTCAGTAGCTAATGCTATTTAGCTTCTCAATGATAGGTCTGGGGATAAAGCCTATAATTAATTATTCTAATACACAAATGTCCCTGGCTGTCCATTGGCCAATAACGTGTTTTGGAGAGAAGTTTACAAATATTTCATCAATTACTTTTGATAAAATACACCTCCCTTTGACTTAAGCAATACTTTATTCTTCGTGTTTTATAATAGGAAAATTAACTAACAGAAAACTTGATCTTGCAACAACTTTATGGTGTGAGAAAAAGCATACTTGCTTAAATTCAGGATTATGAAACTTGTTTTTATTTTTACAGCATGTGTCAAGTTTAATCTATCTTGAGTGTTAGAGTCTTGTTGCAAAAAGACTCTGCTTTTTTCAGCCCACATAACTCATTTTGAGCCAAGTAGTTACACAGTAGACTTGGTTCCTCACTCTCAACACCATTTAATGCTTGGTCTGAAGCAGGACAGTGCCCTATTTCCACAAGCATTTCTTTTTTCTGGGGTCTCACATTTGTGTAGCCTTTCTCTTCCCTGCTTCTTTGGTATCTGAATGCTATAGATTATGTGATTATTCCCAAGTATGTCAGATTAGGTCCTCCAGGAAACAGGTACCATGATGGAATGATATGGGTGAGAGATTTATTAAGGACACTGCCTATGAGAAATAAAGAAGGAACAAGCAGGAGTGGGTCCCACAAGCTTCAGGTTACAGTGCAGGTCTAGCACCTGTAAAAGGAGAGGGAAACGAAAGGCAATTGAAAAAGCCTCAGACTATGTTGTAGCAGTTGGAGATCCAGACACAGGATTTCCCATACTGAGAAGGGGTAGCCAGGTTTAATACCTCTTTGTGTGTAGTGAGTTTTGCAGCAGATTTTGAAGTTTACACCTGGCAGCTGACTGCTGTCCTCAGAGAAAATTTTCTCTTGGAGATTCGAGACACGTGCATACATGACTGTTACAGTTCATCCCCTTGATGCAACTGAGGTCTTCCTGCAGGTTGGTGATGAGCTCTTTGTTGGTTCCCATCTAACTCCTTCTGAGGAGAAACTGAGAAGGGGCTGCATCTGACACTCAATATCTTCCTCCTCTGTCATTCTAAATTCACCTCCCTTTCATTAACACCTCTGCTGGCCTCAGTGACTTTCTTGGTGGTGAAACTAAACCCTATTTCATGACAAGTTGGGATTCCTTGTAACCATAACCTTATTGGATGGGGGTTGCTATATGTGAGCTTTAAAAGTCACAACTGGGAAAGAGAGTACCAAGATCACCTTGGTCCTATATTTGTTTCTTTCTGCTCCATTTTAAATGCAGCTGTACCTTCTGCTGATTAGGGACAACGATCTCTTCTACAATGGTGATACCTCTTCTTGCCTGTTGTTCTTGGCAGAAAAGGGGTACAAATTGTCTGAGAGGCAGCTATGAGATATTGCTTATATTGCTGTGTTTTCTAGAACAAGGGTGTCGCCTATAGGACCAGTATCTTTAACTCTGTAGAGCTCAGAATTATAAGATAATGTTTCAGTCAACTTTTTTGCTACTAAAAGAGAATACCATAAACTGAATAATTTATAAACAATAGAAATGTATTTGGCTCACTCTTTTGTAGTCTGAGAAATTCACGATCGAAAGGCTGCATCTGTAAGGGCTTTCTTGTTTCATCAGAACATGGTGTAAGGCAAAACATGACAAGAGACAGCAAGAGATTAAACTGGAAGCCTTAAGCCCTTTTATCAGCAGCATTAATCCACTCAGAAGGGTGGAGCCCCTATGATTAAAAATCTCCCATTAGGCTCAACCTTCCAACACTGTTGGATTGTGAATGAAGCTTCCAACACATACTTGCATTAGGTGAACTAGAAATATATAGATGCAGTTTTAAATCCACAAACTCATTGGCCACACTTATAGAACTTCTGGCTCAACAAATATGATTTAGACATTGTACAGGATCCTTGATGGAATCTGCATATTTTAAAAAACCCACAGGTTTTCCTCTCTTGGAGGAAGTATTTGTGTGTATGTTTGTGTGTGTCTCTCTCTTTGTGTGTTAAAGTATATTTATGAACAAAAACAGAGTCAAATGAAATGGTTTTGTGCTGATAAAAAGATAATTCTAAAATGAAATAGATGAACTAATTATTTGTCTGGGAAAAGGAGTAGAACCTATTTAAGTGAAAAGTAACAGAAAAATTGCTGATACAATTATTTCTAGTAGTTCTCTCATAAGTTCCTGTGTGCATTCACACATGCATATATCTCCTCAGGTGTCTATGTTACTGGGTATAAGATGACTGCCTAAATAAATCCTTAAGGCACCTTTTATTCAATGATACAACAGAAATGAGGAAAAAGCATGTGAATGAGAAATCATTAAAAGAATAGTTAGATGAAATCAAATATCTCATTTTCTATGAGCAAGAGAGGTCATAGTCATCACGAGAGAACTCTTCTTATATCAACAAGGCTTCCCCTCTCCTATTCTTCCCAACAGCCCTATTCTTTAAATTCATAATGACTTGTCACAAACTACTGTGTTTGTGTAGGCTTCTCATTTATGTAATGATTGATGTTGCTGACATATGTGGAGAAAATGAAAGGCACAGAATACTGAACAGACAAGATGCTTACTGCTCTGATGTGAAACTCCCACACAGACATCACGTTGATCCCATTCATGCTCCTGGTCTCCATTGATATCCACCTCTCTGCTTAGTGCACTGAGCCTCTGGACATCTTTATCACACGTGATGTGCTGTGTCTGAACATCAGCTCAAAATATTCAGGAAAAGTGAAAGACATAAAAATTTTTGAGTGAGTGGCAAGTGATCACTGGAATGATGCCAGAATCAGAGTCTGATGATCTTGCTGAGTCCTTTCTGACTTTAAACACGATGGATAGATAATTGTCATAAATCCTCAGTGGAAGAAAGAAGGAAAAATATCTCATTTCCCATTATTGTTCCTACTGGAATTTTAAACGTGTGGCAAACATTATAATGATGTGAAAGATGCAATAAAAAGAATTTTGAAAACCTTGCCTTGAATTCTGTCATGTTTTAGAGGCAGAGCCAGTCAGAATTAAGGTTAAAAAATATTTAATTAAACCTATGTGTCTGAAAAAGCAGATTCAATAAACTTCTAAAATTCATATTGTCAAAGTTATTTTTCAGTATTCATAAATGCCCAAGAAATTCAAATATTTTGTAAAGATGTTCTTTTTTTTCTATTGGTGGATGAACTTGACAGGTGGAGAAAACTCTAGAAAAATCTCTTTTCTGAAAGTTCACATTCATACCCATGTCCCTTACTTCACAAAAGAGTCACACTACCTAATGGCATAGAAAGAGGCCCAAGAACCATTAGTTGAACTTCAAACTAAGATGCATTTCTATTTTTAAAAATTTGTTCAAACTTTCCTATGGAAAACAAAACTTAAGAACATTAAACTCTGCATTCCCTGAATACTTAGGAAACAGAGCTATATCAGTATCAGATGGTCTTTACACTTTACTGGATGCTGCTATTTTATTCTGTGAGCCTTCTTTGTCAGTAGTCGTCCTAAGTTTCTAACGTAATGGAGAGACTGACAATTCCTTCATCAATTTAAGAAAATGTTTGTCCTCTGCTCCCCTCCCTTCCCTTCCCTCCCCTTCCCCTCCCCTCCCCTCTCTTCCCTTCCCTTCCCATCTTTGTCTCTTTCTTCCTTTCTTTCTAGTGATTGGCAACAGAAACTTTGGTGTTGTTTAGTTTTCCCTAACATACTGAGCAGATAAATTAAGGATGATTTAGATAAAATGGTGAAGAACAGATCACATGGGCTTAATCATCTATCAGGAGGTCTAGGAGCTGTTGTCACTGAATTCATGTTTACTTTTTAAGGCTCTGATAAGTTCACCTCAAAGTAAAGCAATTGAAGATAAAGTGTGTTATACAGTATCTCCCCCAGCCTTTGGAATACTAAGCATATCTGAATATCAAGCTATCTGAAATATATATCAGCTTTCTGATTATAATCAAATTGTATTTTCTTTACTTTCATAATTTGATGCAAAAGAATAGGATAGAAAATTGTTTTCAAAAAGCAGCCCATTGTAAAATGATATTTCTTCATTAGTCTCAAGTCAAAATTTGAACTTTCCCCTTTTATAAATAGAGGGCATGAGCCAATTTGAGTATATATATATATATATATATTCATATACATATATTCTCAAATATATATATATGTATATATATATTCATATATATATATTCTCAAATATATATATGGAAATGTCACAAGGAAATCCCCTACAGAACTATTTCAAACAAAAAAGCCCTTTTTTCAAAAAATGTCCAACAAGAAGGTAAAACAGGTCCTGCCTGGGGCTTGGTACCAGTGGGAAGTAGGGGAATGTATGGAAAGGGTGAAGGAGGCTGAATGTAGTGAAATGGTATGTACTGACTCATGCATGAAAATGGAAAAATGAGACATGTTGAAATCATTCCAGGAACTACTATTCCAGGAATAAAGGAGAATGATGGAGGGGGTGAATTCAACTATGATATATTGTAAGAACTTTTGTAAATGTCACAATGTACCCCCAGCTCAACAATAATAAAATGATTTTTAAAAATTTAAATAAATAAGTAAACTAAATAAGATATGAAAATAGAAGGAAGTCAAGGGGGCTGAAGGGGAGCAAATGGGAGGAGTAGGAGCAGGAGAGGGTGATCGGGAGTGAATATCATCAAAACACATAATATGCCAGTGCGCAAATGTCATAATGAAATCCACTATTCCGTAAAATTGATAATAAAAACGATAGAAAAAGAAAAGGAAATACATGAGTTGGTTCTCAGTTAGGCTCTTGTGTTTCCTGGCTCCTTCGCTCTTCATGGATTGTGTCTGCTTCTGCTACAGCATAGGTGGAGAAGTCGGGCGCGGCCACGAGGCAAGCTACGCGGGCAAGCATTTCCGCATGGGCTTCATGACAATGCCTGCTCCTCAGGACAGACTTCCCCATCCGTGTTCCAGCGGCTTTACCGTCAGATCGCAGTCCCTGCACTCTGTCGGGGGCACAGAGGACGACAGCAGCTGTGGCTCCAGGAGGCAACCACCACCCAAGCCCAAGCGAGATCCCAGCACCAAGCTGAGCACGTCCTCGGAGACAGTCAACAGCGCTGCAGCCAGTAAGGGCGGGAAAGCCCCAGAGAGGGCCGAAGGTAAACTCGCCATGCCCACTTCCCGCAACCTCCCACAGCCGGCTCCGAGAGCACCTGCCTTCTCACCCTGAAGTCCCAGAACGGGAAAATGGGGGGGTATCATTCGTGTGCTGTCACATGGCACCCAGAAGAGTGTATAAGAAAGAGAAGGGCATATGTGAGCATTATTACCCCCTTAAAGCTAAGAATCATTTGAAAACTATTTTGCCTAGAAATATAGCTAGAATTGATATTGTCTTGCTGGCATTAGACTACTTATCTAGTTAAAAGAAACGTGATTTCGGGGAATGTTTTAATGCAGGAAAACATAAAACAAGTTGTGATGGTATCTTTTACAGATCCTCATTTTTGACATTATTTTTTTTCAGTGAGTGTGAATGGGTGCATCTATGTGTATGTGTGTATACTAACAATTGCAGTCTCCACTTCACATTCTGATTTCTGCATTACCTGTATTTTCTCTCAGCTATGAAATACACAAATCAAATATATCCCAGGTCTATGAAATCAGATTACATCACGTTAAGCCTAGATCTCACCAGTTCTTTAGTGCAAAACATTTGAGTTTGTGCATGTGTGTGTGTCTGTATTTTGGGTGACTATTGTTCCTGCACCTCCTTGGAATATCAGAAATTAGATTCTTTCTCTAATGATTCAAGGTAAAGATCAGTATGTCCTTTACCTTATAACACATCAACACTCTGATGTTTTTAGAAACAACATAGGTGTTTAGTTTACTTATTAATACACAAAGGACTCTAGAGACACAATCTTTGTAAATTGAAAACATTGGTTGAAGGTTTTCCTTAATATTGATACATGGTGTCTTTCATTGCTCTTTATTTTCTGTGAACTCATATCTAGAAGTTACCCTTCTTCCACTACCAGGAACTACAGAATCAATTATAGCTCATTGCTTGCAAGAGATTGCCAGTGTAAGACAATGATATCTGAATGATGAGGACTTGAATGCAATTTATTTTTTTCTTTTTAATTTTTATTTTATTCATATGTGCATACAATATTTGGTTCATTTCTCCCCCCTTCCCGCCACCGCCTCCCTTATCCCCCCCCTTACTCCTCGCTTCTAGGCAGAAACTATTTTGCCCTTATTTCTAATTTTGTTGAAGAGAGAGTATAAGCAATAATAGGAAGGAACAAGGGTTTTTGCTAGTTGAGATAAGGATAGCTATACAGGGAGTTGACTCACATTAATTTCCTGTGCATGTGTGTTACCTTCTAGGTTAATTCTTTTTAATCTAACCTTTTCTCTAGTTCCGGTCCCCTTTTCCTATTGGCCTCAGTTGCTTTTAAGGTATCTGCTTTAGTTTCTCTGCATCAAGGGCAACAAATGCTAGCTAATTTTTGAGATGTCTTACCTATCCTCACCCCTCCCTTGTGTGCTCTCGCTTTTATCATGTACTCAAAGTCCAATCCCCTTGTGTTTGCCCTTGATCTAATGTCCACATATGAGGGAGAACATACGATTTTTGGTCTTTTGGGCCAGGCTAACCTCACTCAGAATGATGTTCTCCAATTCCATCCATTTACCAGCGAATGATAACATTTCGTTCTTCTTCATGGCTGCATAAAATTCCATTGTGTATAGATACCACATTTTCTTAATCCATTCGTCAGTGCTGGGGCATCTTGGCTGTTTCCATAACTTGGCTATTGTGAATAGTGCCGCAATAAACATGGATGTGCAGGTGCCTCTGGAGTAACCTGTGTCACAGTCTTTTGGGTATATCCCCAAGTTGAATGCAATTTAGAATGATTTAAGTATAAAGGGAAAAAAAAGAATTCCTGAAGGGAGAAGGAAAATAAGAAATAAGACAGACAAGGAAAGTGGATGATAAGGAATGTGCTGTAAGGCAGTGTTGCACTGCTGGAAACACCCGTGGAAGGAAAGGAAAATGCACACCAGGGACCTGCCCAACCAGAAAAGGGGTAACTAGTGTATTTAGAGTAAAAGTACAGGAAAAATTGCTACTACTATCCCATAAAAGCAGAATGTCAATGATTATTCTTAAAAATAGAACAGATTACCATCCTTTTGGAATACTTCGGGTGGCAAGTTTTGAAGGGCAGCATTTCCTTCTCAGATCCCTTCACTGTTTAAGAATCTAGGGTCACAAGAATAAACAGAAGACATCAACTTTATAATCTTTTTTTCTTCTGAAGGCAGACAAGGAAAGTGACCAGGTCACAGCAGCAATGACTTAAGTTAGACTTGGAAAGCTACTTGATGGGCCATGAGAACCCATGGAACACAGGCCATTTCTCTTCAAAAAGGAGCTCTCAAAGCAATCGGCAAGTCCTTGGCTGTGATGAGTCTTTAGGGTCTTAAATGGACTCAGTGAGTATTAGGATTGGTGCACAAATGACAGACTTCTAATGAAAAGTGATTCTGTATGTAAATATTTACTTTTTCTTTAGAACTCGAGAACAAGGCAACTGGACAACTAGATACATTCAAATATCTTCTAACAGGTTATAACCCTGATAATAATAGAATAAAATCAAGACTTAAGGAAGAGATGGGGAAAAGTCTTGAGTCCAAATGCATGTGTGCATAAGTGTATACTCAAAGCCAAAATTATGTAAGTATGCAAATGGTTCTCATGAATTTTTGGTTCTTTCTAATCACGAGCTAACTGGAATTCGTTGTATGACATATGTTTTCTTTACAATTTTGTAGCTATCAACATTAGAACACAGATAAAAAGTGACTTTTATAAACCTTAGTTTGTCTTTTCTTTTTACACTAAATGTCAGCAAAATCAAAATATTGATTCAGTGGCATTAGAATGATTTCCATGGTAACCGGCTTCTATTTAAGTAGAGGATTATGACTTCCCTGTGGATAAAAGAAAAAAGAACTAGACTTGTAGCAAAATGGCTTTTTGGAATACAAAAATATAAAAAAGAAAGAAAAGGAAAGAAAGTTAAACACAAAAAAATTGAAAAGTACAATTTAGTGTTTAAAAATTATAATTCTATCATATTTAAAATAATATTCATTATTCTATTCTAAGATCCTTTACAATAGCAATACCTTTAAAAATTTATCAGTGGAGAACATAAACTGGCAATTACTAAGCTATAAGTATTTTAATTACTCTTTTCTCTTACCTCTGTGTAGTACTTGCTTATTTTGAGGAAATATTACACAAAATAAAAGGAATTAATTAGAAAGAATAAGAAGCCTTATAAACTTGCCTTGTGTTGATCCAGCTGAAGAAGCAGCTATGCAACTTCCATTCAGTAATCACCATTCCTTGGGTAAAAATGTACCTCATTCCTCAATACTGCCATTGTTAGAGATGCTATGTGTTGTGGGCAAAAAGGACCATCATTAGAGTAAAAGGCAAACATTGGTTTTAGGCAAGTGACCTAATGAGGTTTCTTTACCTTTAACATGATTATAAAGTACTGAAAAATTAATCATACCCTGCTTCCTTCATAGCCTGTGAAAATCAAGTGGGCTAAAGCCATTAATGTGCATGATAAAAAGAAATTGCTATATAAATAGAAGCTAATGAAGTTTTAAATGTGTAGTTATCATCTAATACTAGTCCTGAATAACATGATGCTTTTGTTTTTATGAAACACAGATGTTAAAAACAAACAGAAAGGAAGAAGAGAAGATATGCTTTCCCCTTGCACATATCAGAGCTTTAAAATTATTTCTTGTGGCTACTATTAAAAGTCAAAAGATGCTGGAGACATGATTCAAGTGATAGATCACCTGCCTATCAAGGCCTTGAGATCAAACCCCAGTACCACCAAAAAAATAAAAGAAGGACAAAAATAAAAAGGGAATTCTTGTGCAATATTAGTGGGAATGTAAATTTGTGCAGCTATTATTGAAAACAGCATGGAGGCTCCTCAAAAATTTAATAATAATACTACCATATAATCAAATAACACCACCATTGGGTATATGTCTAAAGGAAATAACATCAGTATGTTAAGGAGATATGTATACGCCAGCGTTTATTATAGCATCATTACAGTAGCTGAAATGAGGAGTCAAACTGTGGGTCCATCAACTGATGACAGATGAAGAAAATGTGCACTTTACACAACGAAATATTTTTCATCAATAAAAAAGAATTTGTAGCAAAATGGATGAATCCGGAGGAAATTATGTTAGGTGAAATAAGACAGTCACAGAAACAAATACCATGTGACTTATGTTGAGTATTAAACAATTGAATTTGTAGAAGTAGAGGGTAGAATGATGGCTACCAGTGACTGGGGGACTGGAGAAATGTTGGTCAAAGGACAGAAGATTTATATTAGATAAGAGGAATAAGTTCAAGAGACCTATTGTACATTATGGTGATTAAAGTTTGTAAGGATATATTCTTGAAAATCACTGAATCATTCAGTAAAGTCTAAGAGTTCTCATCACACAAAAGAGATAAATATGTGAAGTAATACATATATACATATATTAATTTTAAGTACACAATTTAAGCATTCTACTAGATAGATAGACATAGTAAACATGAAAATATATATACAAATTTTAACAATTAAAAATAAATAAATGAGAAAAAGGACAAAAATCCTCCAGATTTTACACAATGGCCCAAATAAAAAGGGAAATAGTCCAAGGCATAATCTTTTAATGATATTATGACATTAATAAACATTCACCAGCATAATAAACTTTTAATAATATGGCATTAAGTAATATTTAGTATAAGGAATAAAGCAGGTTTTTAATAAAACTTCAAGCAACTCTATGCTTTAGTCTTCAATAAAAATTAAATCTTCTTAACTTCACTTGATAGGAGCTTTTTGTGTCATTTTCAACACTAATTTTATAATGTCATCTGATGACTGTTCTTCACCAAACAATGAAGAAATGTTTTTAAGTTGGAATAGTTAACCTAGTTTCTTATTTTCTTTTTTAGAAATTATTAGTAGAGTCATATCTTTTGATATGTCTGCTGGAATATTTGGACACATAATAATTGCCTTAAGAA